ACACACTGATATGGGGCACTGTGTAATGTGCACACACTGAAATGGGGCACTGTGTAATGTGCACACACTGAAATGGGGCACTGTGTATTGTGGGGGTCAAGCAGCTGATGTTGGATCCGGGTGGTTAATAACTGTCCCAAAAGGGGCGGCTGGTGTAGCAGCCATGAACCAGCCACTTAATCTGAGTGTCAAAAACATCCAGGATAAAAGAATCTGCTTAGCAAATAGCTAACAGCTAGCAGGCCTCTGGAAGCAGATAGTAAGAACTACAGCCAATAATCCAAGGGAGGCTATTTATTGCTGCTCCAGTCACATATTTCCTCTCTGTGAAATATGAAAATTATTATTCATGTCGCTGCGTAATCCAGCCCATGTGTTGGCACGCGGAGAGAGGCTCAGCACTGAGGGTGGCACCAGTGTCGGCATGCGTAGCAGGCAGCCGCCTCTGGGGGGCAGCGTGTATGGGGCGCCCATGCTCACGTGCCGTGGATCGCTGGACCATTCGGGTGGAGAGGTCACAGAGGTCAGCAAGTGCCACACAGCGACCATCAGTCTGGAGAAGCCGTAATACATTTTCACACGTTTGCCCCAGATACCATCCTACCCACTGGGGCAAAAGACCCCCATGGATTGAATATCACTGCCCTTTTAGGGGGCCCCTTAACATGAAGACTTTCAGGGGCCCAAACACTAGGAGGGGCCCGCTTGCTAAATTTTACCATCAGCCTAGCTGGGGGGGACATTTAATGAAATTTTCTAGGGGCCCACTTTGTCTTTGTACAGCCATGTCTCAGCCAATGAAAAAGTTGCTTCAGAATGATTTCTAGCTATTTGCAGGTACTGTGCCAGACATTACAGAGTCCTATCCTCGCCTCGCACCCCAAAGCTCACCTCTGCTTCTGTGGCATTCTGGGTCGTTACAGCTTATCCTAAGCGGCAGCCCTTATTAAACAGCCCCATTAGACCCATAACTTATCGCGCTGGATCGGGTGTCGGCTAAAATTAGCCGTGAGACTTGATTTATTACGCCGATTGAGGGCTTGGAAAATGCCGGTAACTGCCTGCTGGTGACGGGACCCTCACTTCGGCCTCATGACATAGTGGCGCCCTTAAAATCTCCCCCTCGCCACCTACCTGTTTACGCTGCAGAGTGTCTGTAAAATGAAGTGCAGGAAAAAACTGTGAAATATGAACTTATTTTGAGGAAGCAGAATAGCTCTCCAGCATTGATTAATAGACGTTCTGCTCAGATGTCTTACATTTGCTACGCTGCAAAATTAAAGGAGTTAAACCTGGGCCCCCTCCCACCTCCTAGTCAACATCTTTTTATTTAACTTTCCATGTTTACATCGATGGGACCCCAATGCTAATGCTAATGCTAACCTTAAATCATATATAACAGCACATTTAAGGCATGCAGTGAATTTCATTTCAGAGCACAATGTGATGTTTCTGTTGATGTTATATGTACTGGCAGTGTTCAGTGTTTAGACATTAGCTCATGTAAAACACTGACAGTGTTCAGGCATTAGCTCAGGGAATATTCCTGACAGTGTTCAAGCAGGAGCTCAGAGTCAGTTCCTGACAGTGTTCAGGCATTAGCTCAGAATCAGTTCCTGACAGTGTTCAGGCATTTTCTCAGGCCCGGTTCCTGACAGTGTTTAGGTTTTAGCTCAGGGTCACTTCTTGACAGTGTTCAGGCATTAGCTCAGGGAATATTCCTGACAATGTTCAGGAATTATCTCAGGGTCACTCCCTGACAGTGTTTAGGTTTTAGCTCAGGGTCACTCCCTGACAGTGTTCAGGCATTAGCTCAGGGTCTGTTCCTGAGAGTGTTCAGGTATTAGCTCAGGGTCCGTTCCTGACAATGTTCAGGTATTATCTCAGGGTCACTCCCTGACAGTGTTCAGGCATTAGCTCAGGGTCACTCCCTGACAGTATTCAGGCATTAGCTCAGGGTCTGTTCCTGACAGTGTTCAGGTATTAGCTCAGGGCCGGTTCCTGACAGTGTTTAGGTTTTACTCAGGGTCACTCCCTGACAGTGTTCAGGCATTAGCTCAGGGAACGCCTGGGGTTATTATACCAACGCTCTCACGCTTTTCTACAAGAGGCCATTTTTGGATCTGTGGTCTCTTGTCCTACTGGCGAAGATGGAAATAGAGAGAGACCGGCTATACTTATGATTCATACGATAACCAATGACAAATTAAAAGCAACGATTTCTCTCAATGAAAATCCTGCCTTGTAAAAATCCTAGCGAGTGAGAATGTGGCAGCTGACTCCCCTCCCAAACCCCCCCGATGGTCATCGCAGAGACTGCCCTATTGATGGGGAGAGAACGGTTGTATTATATGAGACGGTATGTAACTCCTGCTATGTAAACCCTACGCCTAACCTGAACCAACACACATAGATGCTGGCATACACAAGCACGTGCCGTATTTGTTCCGGATGGTTTCTGGGTGTAACATAACAGACCGTTAGCCCGGAACGATTTGGACTCGAAACAATCCCTACACCTTTGAGTAGTGATTCGCGTTTGGCTTGCCTGTAGATGGGGTCTCGCCTGGTCGTCTCACACTAGGGGGCGGGGCCTCTCCTAGCCAGCATCTCTACTGGTTGATTTGGCCTTTACAGAGGAAGTGGCACTCTGATCTGATCCTACATCTCAAACTCACATCCTCACCAATCTGGGCAAAAATGTGGGAGGCATATAGAACCCATACAGAGCATGAGCCAATCATATGTTTTGAATTGGTGATTGACAGGGGAGGTGCCACTCTGAGAGCCAATCAACATTTAGTTGTGGCCAGTGTCTGGCCTCTCAAAACGAAAATGTTGCTCTTAATAAAAACATCAGCAAAATGTAAAACAGCAGTGTATTATTGAAAAGCACAGCTCACTGTAAGGTATCACAATAATATAAAATGGTAAATATTCGTTATTTCCTCTTAACTTTGCTAGCAGAACATTTAAAGTGACCTCTCCACTTGTTGATGTACCTGGACGGCTCCACACACGGTCAGCACCTGCTGATGCAGATGGACACTCTGCCAAAGGTGCAACAGCTTGTCCCAACAGTGATCATTACCCCCCCCTCACCCCCCGTCCCGGTGCACGCCAAGCAGCAGAGAGGCTGAGGAGCCACTGTGGGCCTAAAGTAAACTGGCAGTTGTCACCTCGTGCAGTGGGAGATGGCCTGATATACAGTGACGTCCATACCAATCCCCCAGGGCTCGCTCTCCCATCCAGGCCTGGTGTGAAAACATCCCAAATTTACGGCAGGGTTTTGTCTGGAGGGGGGGGGGGGGGGTGGACCGGCCCCCTACAGAGGGCCCTTTGTC